GGGTGGGGTAGGGGGAATGTTTGGGAGCGGGGCAGCAGAAGGGCTGATCGGGAGGTGGGGGAAGACGGGGGCGCACGCGCCGGAGTGGGAAATCACGGGAGGCCAGGCTGGAGCGTGGTCGCGTGGGGAAAGCGGCGGCGTTGGGGTGGCGCGGCGCACCTCCTGCAAAACTGCGCCGGCAGCGCAGAGAGCAACGCGCCTACTCAAGCGACCCTCGGGCCGCCGCGGCCCCCCATAACACCGACCAGCGGCAGCTGCTACCCTCAAATCGCCCACCAGGCGCCATCGCCTCGACCCCGTACACACCCCCATGCACACACACACCCCATCCACTGTCCACCCATCAATACACGCTCATGCCCCAAACACCCGCCTTCCGACTAACCCCAACCCAATCCACCCACTAACGCAACCACGCTCCCCCCATGAACGCTCACATACGCACTCTTACACACGCACGCTTACACATGTGCGGTCACACACACACACACGCACACATACAAAAAGTGGCCACCCCTCAAACGCACACATGTCCACCAGCCGTGCAGAGACGCACACACACCTGCACCAGGCGCCCCGCATCCGCGCACACAAAAAGGTCAGACGGCACAGTGTTGATGATCTGCACATCGGGCTCGGCCTGCGGGGGTTGTTCGGCAATTTTGATCACCGTTTCTTCCCAACAGCCTTCGCAAGTCAAGGATGGGCGGCAGGTGTGACGGTGTGCGTCGCATGGTTGTGCGGCAAGCGGACGGCCAGCGGCGTGCCGGTTGCAGGCGATCGCGGCAAACCCCCTGATCGACCCTGCCAGTCTGCGCTGCGGACCGGTCCGCGCGCAGGCGACCACCAGCCCTGCCAGACTGTTGTTTGCAAATCGGACAGCTTCCTCCCTCCCTGCCCCCTGCCCTCCTTCCCTCCCTGACTTTTTCCTCTCTCTCCACACATGGAGAGGGATGTTATACTGACGATTCCGTTGTACTAGACGTCACATAATGGCAGAATCAGCGCTCACCAGTGACCTGGTGAGGTCGACCACGTCCCCCGCCAGCGCCCGCAGCGCCACCCGCGCGCGCGCCAGCACCAGGCGGTTGTGCCTCAGCGCCGCCGCGTCCATGACATCGTTTATGAGCGCCAGCAGGCGCGCGCCGCTGGTGCGGATGATGTACACCTGACGTCATCAGGGAGGGGGGCAGGGCGGGGCGCGCCGGGTAGGATGGGTCCGCTGCTGCCCTGGTGATTGGGGCTGGTGGCCAGGCTGGCACGGGGGCGGACAGCAAATCGGGCTCCGCGGCCCATGTACTGAGACTGGCCAAGCCCCGTGTTGCGATAACGCCGGCACACAATGCTGCGGCTCGGCCCAAAATTATGTCGCACGTACGAGCCGCACCTGGCGGCGCACGACGTCCGGCAGTGTGCCGCAGCAGCCCGAGAGCATGCCCTCGGATATGCCTGGGGAGGGGGGCGGTGGCGCCGGGAGTTATGTTTAGGATGCGCTTGCGCTTGCTCGACAGGTTGACAGGTTGACAGGTTGACAGGCACAGCACAAGTGCATGCCCGGCTGCCGCCTTTCTGTTTTCAGAGGAGCGCTGGAGGGCCCGGAACGCATTCAGATGCAACTCGATTCAAAAAAGTCAAGTGGCAAGGAGCCATGCACCGCGCATGCTCATGATCACGTTTGTGAGCCGAAGGCCCCCCCCCACACACACACACATGTGTGTGTGTGTGTGTGAGCACGTGTAAACACGTTATCAGACACATACATTCGAACACACACACACACACACTCTCTCTCTCACATACACCTCATACGATTGCTCGCTCACCGATGATGCCGTTGAGTGGTGTCCTGAGTTCATGGCTGACTGAGCTCATGAACCGCCCCTTCTGCTCGATGATGTTCTTCATCTCATCCACCAGTGTCTGCTTGTTGCCCTGCCAATTGTTATAGTCATACAGGGGGATTAGGGGTGCCGTAAGGAGCGATCGTTGCGGTTTAGAAGACCTACAGCGCACAGCAAACAAATCGCGTGTCCTTGCGCCAAACACCGTCGCCGCCGACATGCTGGTTGTTGTCAAAGCAAGGAGGGCATGTGGAACTCCGAAAAAATTGGTGGAGATCTTGCTGACTCCCCACCTGCTCGATCTGCCTCATGACGCCCTCCCTCCTGGTCTCCACGGTCTTGAAGCTGCTCAGCATGAGGCTGCTGCTGAACACGATCTGATGTGTGTGTGTGTGTGTGTGTGTGTGTGTGTGTGTGTGTATCAAAACCAGGCGCGCTGTCAACGTCGAGGGTGCCTCGGGCCGCCAACACAAGGGGATGGCCCCAGCCCGCGCGCACCAGAACTACCAAGACCCCAAGCGCGCGTCGCATCGGCCTGCACCCTCTCCAGTGACTCATCAGAGGCCTGGCCCTGACTCGCCCAGCACAGCCACTCGCCATAACATGCCACTCGCCACAGTGGGACGTCGCGCTGGCGCCCCTTGCCTCTCAAACCCCACGCCCGTCCACCACAATCACCCCGATTTCCCGCATGTTTGGGCGGATGGGGCAATCCGCCGCGCACCTTGGCACAGAAGTCGCAGACCAGATTGAGCGCCTCCTCAGTTTCCAGCGAGATCCACCCCAGCGCCCCCAGGTCCCAGACCGCGCCAAACGCCAGCCACATCACCTGCCGGAACGTGGATCCACGCGTGCAGGCCCATTGCAGCATGCGCCCCCTTGTAACGACCAGCGACGCGGGAGGACCGCGGTGCTGAGCAACCCTGCAACACTACGTGCAGGGCAGGTTTGGACCCTGGCGGCTGCGCTCTGGCGTCACGCCCCACCAGAATTAGGTAATATGTGACCGCGGTGGCCGATTTGGCGGCGTTGGCAGCGATGGCGCCGGACGCTCTGGGCGGAGGGGCAGAGGTTGGCCCGCGGGCGGGCGAGGGATGCGGGCGGGGCCCCGGGTTGGTCGTGCACCTCCGCCGCCTCTCCTCCGATTCCATCCACTTCAGACGCTTTGGTTTGTGGGTATCAACCCCAGGGCCCCAGTGCAGCTTCAGATCCCCCAGGGCAGTTGCAGCGCGGCCGTGCACCCACTCCTTGAGTCCGCGGTGCAGGTAGAGCAGCACAGGCACGCACGCCAGGTGGGACACGACCGCCAGGATGACTGTAAGGGGGCAAGGGCAGAGGCCGGCGGGGGCGGATTTGTTTTGGGGGGCCGGGCGGTCCCCCCTGTTGTGCGAACGAGGTGAGGAGGGGTGCGGCCCCGGCGCGGCTGGCTGGGCCCAGGCTTGCAATCCAGCAGGGCCTGTGCGGTCGTGCTGGCCAACCGACGGCAAAAGGTTTGATATTGCCTATGAAATGTGACAAATGCCTGGCCAGACTGCAAACCCACCAGTCGGCAGCACGACAAGCTGACATGCAGCAGGCTAAAACTCCTGCCCAAATGCACTACAAAGGCTGCATCAGCGTGCCGTTGCTGCGTCCAGCGCCTGTGTTCCGCCGCAGCTACCCACCCGACACCGGCCCCTTTGTCAGCGTCGCGGCCGCGCCAGACACCAGCATGATCTCATCCCACGCGACCGCCCACAGCAGCTGCCCGTTGCCCAGCGTCGGCGCCATCAGGCGCAGCAGCAGCAGGATGGTGGGGGTGGTGTGCATCCAGCAAATGTACCGCTGCAGCACGCATCTGCGCGGGTCAAGTGTGCATCGCAGAAGTTGGGGGGTCGTGAGAGCACGCTCGAGTCCGACGCAACACTCGAGTTATGCGTGTGGCAGCGGGATGTTGGGCGGCGACGCATGGTGGGTGCCGGGGTGGTGCGAGGGGGAGAGGAGCCGTCAGCCCGTCGCCATCAAACGACTCGCGCTGCGGCATAAGACCTGACAGGATTGGCGGCACCGCGACCTGGCTGCACACAGCCAGTCCCTTTTTCGACCACCGCCAGCACTCGTGAATGATGCCATGCGCCGCACATACCAGCAGACGCACCCGTCCCCGCCGCTTGCCGACAGGCGCGCCGCAGCTGCACGCTGCGGCGCTTTCTGCCCTTCACCCGTTCCGCAGCCGAGTCGCCAACCCCAGGCAGTGCCCGCGCCTGCTC